CTTGCTCTTCCTTTTTTTTTAATTCACTAAATCTCTACACAATATACCGTGAAACCTCTATAAATTAATAATGTTGGGATTAATATTTTTGTATTAATTTATTGATATATTAACTGAACCAAAAATTTAATTTGAGACTATAAAATTATATTATTTTATAAAAATATTTTATGTAAATTAATTTATAGAGGTTATACTGTATACATACTAGTATTACCAATTCATACTATTATCTTGCTCGTTCCATTATCTCTCTCAGTTAAAGTGTACATAACAACAATCATTTATAGTAATCATCATTCAAAAAATTATTCACATCAACCCAAAAAGTCCATAAAATTCTTTTAAACGTTGTCAAAAAAGAAAAAAGTCCTTTTTAAACAGGGTGGATTTTCTTATGCAACATGATCCATGCATCTATCCATTATGATCTAACCACCGTTAACATTCAGTTGTAACCAAACCTTAGTTCAAGCATTAAATATGATACAAGAACATGTAAAAAGATTTTGACCGGAAAAAAAGAACATGTAAAGAGATATAGATTTTAATCGCTTCACAGGAATAATAGATCTGAATAGATATGGAACAAGGAACAAATATGGCAGATAAAAGGGAGGATGAGTTTTAGTCAACTAACTAAAATCCATTTCCGAAACTAGCGCCTGGGAGAGTTTCCTTTGCTAAAGATGGTTATCGAGTTGATCAGTATTTAGCTTCAGGCAAAAACATCGAAACAAAACTGTTCTCTCTTATAAAATGTTCAATGAATCGCTCTGCCGTAGAACGAATTTTGAATAAACACAATGACTTGTGTCAATATATTTAAACAAACTTTTTGTGGTTAATAGTGGAAGGATTAATCATAATTAACCGCATAAATACTCGAGATATTTACATAAAAATGTTATGTATTTGCTCAGAAATTTCTTACGATACGCTTATGTTATATTTATATTTTTCAGATTTTTGTAATTTTGAGAAATTTCTTATATTTCCTTGCAATTCATGTTGATATGTGTTTTGTTGTTTATGTGGTTGAAGTTTTGGTCATAGAGACAATCACGTTCATGAACTAACACTCAGTGAATCAGTTGATCCAGCTCTTGATAGTTGGATTCATATATGCAGCATAGTCAACATTATCACTGATGCATATCCATTATTATTGGGTTTGATTAGTATCATGTGGTATTGTTATTTTAGCTTGAGTTAGAAACCTGATTTATGGATAACCCAAAGGTGTTATCATTCATGCATTAACTTTACTTTTTCTGGTTTTAAGTTTGATTTATCATGTGTTGTAGTTGAGTTACAATTTTGACTTATACCCTTTGTAAAATTGTTAACTCAAATCAAAATGCAACATGAAGGAAAATTGTATGTTTTAAGAGTTGAGTTACCATTTAAATTAATTTGCTGTCTACAAAAAAAAATGAAAATAACAAATTTCAAAACCTTCGTGTGACTAGGTGACGTCTGTGGGTTTTTTCTTTTGCTTTGTTGAATTTATAATATTATTTGTGGTTCTAATTTCATAACTATAGGAATATTTAATTTTATTGTTTTTTTAATAAGTTCTCTTTTTTCTTCAACAACACAACTTAAATAATAAGTTATGAGAGTTCGAGATAGATAAAAGAGGAAACATTCAGACATATAATAAAATATTTAACATAAGTAAGATCAAAAATTCTTCAGGTGCTTCAGCGTCTTCTTCTTCCCGAGGAAGAGGAGATCTTCCAAGGAGATCGTTGTCCCACAGAGCTGATGTTGCCTCACCTCTTTGGATGATGTTTCACGTGTAAGTGACGTTCTCCAGATCAACCACCTGGCGCTTTATGAAGGAAGCTGTTTTGGTTGCAGCTTTACGTCTCACTCCAATATCTAATTTTATTGTTGTTTGAAATTATTCTTCAATCTTATTTTTGTGATAGTATAAAATTTTATAATTTTACTCCTGTTTTTTTTAATAGTATTTGCTCTCCCTACATTAACATTTTATCATATTTAGGTGAATATCCAATTACACCGTGTATCACTATACTCTAATTATTAATGTCAATATTACCTCTATTGCTATTATCATCACACTGATAGCATAAAAATTGTTTGAGTAATTTTTTGTGAATTTTCTTCTTTAATTATCATATCTTATACAAAATTTTATTTGTCAGACACAAAGACTCTTTTAATAATTTCATATCTCTCTCTAAAACTAAACTTACTTCAATATTCAAAAATCTTATCCTTTCACCTTCAAATCAACATTCTTCCTTCATTATTACTATCATTCTATTTCTCAGTAGACATGACATCCTATTTTACATATAAATGTAATGTATTTGCTCAGAAATTTCTTACGATACGCTTATGTTTTATTTATATTTTTTCAGATTTTTGTAATTTTGAGAAATTTCTTAGATTTCTTTGTAATTCATGTCTGATATGTGTTTTGTTGTTTATGGGGTTAAAGTTTTTATCATAAATACAATCACGTTCATGAACTAACACTCAGTGAATCAGTTGAACCAGCTCTTGATCGTGGATTCATATATACTGTATAGTCAACATTATCACTGATGCATATCCATTATTTATATAGTCGTTGTAATTTTTGATCAAGCTACGATACCTAGTGCAAACAAAACATATGACACATGATTAATTAAGACTTGTAATAATTTATCGAATTATTTCACCAACAAAATATTTTAACCAAAGTTTTCTACTTGGTGTGGACATAGAGCCTTTTTTTTGTTTTTTTTTGGGCAACAGATGGACATAGAGCCTTTCTCTACAGTTTCTTGAGGATACTCTTCTTGGCATCTTCAGTCACTTCTAGAGCTGGCACTATTCACAGCGGACATGGACATAACTTGTTGAGGGGAGTATGTTTAATTTGTCTAGCTACTGTTTTTATTGCATATTATCTTCTAGACCAAATGTGGTAATGAATTCTGGTAAGTGGTAACTAGAAATCTCTATAATATTATTTGAGAAGTCACTTTCTTAGGTGTCGCGCTCACGTTAACTCTCACGCTGGTTGATTACTATGATACCCTTAATGAATTAAAAATACAATTAAATATTATTTCCTTTTTAAAAATTTCCAAATAACAATATAAAATAAAAAGGAAACATTCTAAAATTTTAAAAAACTATTTAAAAACGAAAATATAAAAGTATATATAATATGGTTTAATAAAAAAAGGAAAATTCACAAAATAGTAATATTTAATTTAAATATATCTCTATAGTATTATTTGAGAAGTCAGTTTCCTACGTGTCACGCTCACATTAACTCTCACGATGGTTAATTACATAGATACTCTTAATGAACAAAAATATTAAATAAGATTGATATTAATAATGTATTTTCTTTTCTCATAATAAGATTTTACTTAATTTTTTAATTTATGTTTACTTTTTAAACACACATATACAAAAAAAAAAAATTATGAAATAAAATGTTTATATATAAACGAAATTAAATATTTTTTTCGAAATTTTCATAAAACAACATTTTTAGTGTTTATTTAATAGATATTAAAAAGCAAAATAATTTTTTTTAACACAAATAAATATTTTGATCAAATAATTTCAAAAATTTTTAAATAGCGTAGCACTATACACTATTAATGAAATGAAAATATAATATTTATCATTATTAAAAACTCTTTTAACATATAGTTTGCTTTTTAATTTTATGTTTTTTTATGTTTATGGAACTTAATAGATAAATAGTCAAAATACTCAAGTAAATCTAAGTTCTCATTTTTAAGATTGTTTAAAAAGTTTCAATTTACCTTTTAAGAAATCTAAGGTATAAAATAATTTAGAATTTATAAATATTTAATTATTGTAAATATTAATATGTTCTCATGAAATTTCAATTGTTTATCTTTATACTCATATTTATGATTGTAAATTCTTATTGATCGTCACTTTATTTTTTAATATATCTTAAAAATCAGCATATGTCCAATTATTAAAAATCTTATAAAATACTTGCATTAAGTGGTAAATAAAACTAATTTGATTTGATTTAATTAGAAAAATATATATAACTCAATATATTCACAAAATGAGTAATGGAACGAATCTAACTTATATCAAAAATAAAAGATCTAACTACAACAAGAACATAGAATTTTAGAATAATTATTTATTTTATTTTTATACATATAGATTACAGGATGACTCAAAAATATCAATATAGACAAAAATAATTATTAACCAACTGTTATATTTCAGTTTTTTTCTGTAAAACTTATATATATATATATATATATCTAACTACAACAAGAACATATAATTTTAGAATAATTATTTATTTATTTTTATACATATAGATTACAGGATGACTCAAAAATATCAATATAGACAAAGATAATTATTAACCAACTGTTATAATTCAGTTTTTTCTGTAAAATTTATATATATGAATGAGACTTCAGAATATTATCGTTATATTCATTTATATAATTTTGTGTCAAAATTTCAGTTTATTTTAAATTTCATTATAAGCATAATATATATTAAGTTATACATAATCTTATTAAAATATATTTACATATATAAGACGATAACCGATCTAAATACAATAATAATTAAAGTTTTAGTATATTTAGAAGGAAAATATTATAGTTGAATTCAGAAAAACAGATTCAATCTAAAATACACAAATGTAACCAAATCGACTATTGACCAAAAAAGCAACCTAACCGATTAAATATAACATCTTCTAAATCATATGTCTAATTAAAATAATCTAATATTATTAATATAAGTTATACATATAAATTATAAATTAATTTATAATTAAAAGTAAATATCTATGTAAATTAATAAATTAGAATATATTACTATATATTACTTGATAAATATTCATACCCGTGCATGAGCACGGGAAAATCACCTAGTATAACATATAAATATAAATACATATATTTTACATATTAAAGCACTCTCATAATATTATAGAAATAGATGGAATAAAACATAGTTTAAGGCTCATTATTCCTTATCATTACAACATGTTCCCACTTTTTTAATACTCTTAAAAAAAAGCCCTCAAATAATAAGATAAAACAGCATTTTATTGCATCACTAGCTCTTCAAGAAGTATATATCTTCAAGGATATTAGTTGAAATTAACATCATACTTAGGCTGTTGATTAGCAAGAAACAACCCCCAAAACTTCTCAAACTCAGGAGGACCCTTCAGATTCTCATCGAACATAGCAAATATATAAGTCTCTATAGGTTTCCCTGGCCTTCTCGGAGTTCCAGTACCCACATGTTGTATCAGATTATTAATATAAGTCTTAGCATTCTCCACGCTTGTCCCTGGTCCTCCCTCCGTGGGCCAACCACTCTCCGACACCACAATCTCCAACGATCCTCCCCTTGATTTCTCCAACGCTGCGTAGACCGAGTCAAGTTCGGCATCGAAGAGGTTTTTGTAAGAGTATTGATTGTCAATGACTACAGGGGTCGGTTTGAAAAGAGCATACTCTAGAGGGATGTCCTTCAAGTTATCCTTGTAGCTCAAGTAAGGGTGGTTATTCAAGAGCAGAGGATATTTCTTGCGTACCAAGAAATCAATCACCGGTTGGAGAAAGTCCTTATACTCATCCGTGAATCTTCCACGCGACGGAGGATACGTGTCCGTGACGGCTCCCATGTCGATAGCCGTCGACACATTGATCCGGAGACCTGCTTTAGAAACCGAGTTATCGATATTCTCCATGGCTTGGAGGAGAGACCTTCCATCTAGGTCAGAGGGTTTCACCTCGTTTCCAACCGTGATGTATCTGAATCTGACATTGTTGTAATTCTTGACGTTGTCGCGGATCCACGTGTCGGCCTCCCCTTGGCTGGAGGCGATACGTTGGAGGTCTCTTTTGGGAACGTCGAGGATGAGTTCGATGTTGGAGTTGCGAAGAGCGTTGAGAGTTTCTGCGTCAGGATCGTAAAACCTCATACGTTGGATGTTCAGCTTCTTGTAAAGAGCCACGACGTTAGATGAATTTTGTCGGGGATTGTCTGACCTACCGTAGCATACTCCGATTTGTCCAGCTACATCGTTAGTAATAATTAATATTGAATCAATAGGGTGACAGGAGATATAATTAGTGGGGGCGTTACATAAGCTTAATAGACTGATTATTGTACCTGTGGTATCGAAGAAGGAAGCCATTAGAAGACTGAGAAGAATCAGCAACACTGGTGATGAAGTTAAGATCCTTGATTCAGACATTTTCGTGAAGTAATTAGTAGACGTTAAAATCTGGCTTTTTATGTTATACTTTAAAATTTGTTTGTATAAAACGTGTCATTGTGCACCTTATTTATAGTGCGAGTGTGGAGTTCAAGTCAGTCAATGGATGAAATACCATTAACAATTACTCTTTTTTTTAATGAGGATGGATTCGGGTTTTCAACCTTAATCCTCCTGGACCGGGAAGCAAGCTGCGTCTGTACCTGTTAGGGTACTAGACACTCTCCCTACCCAAGACTCAAACTTGTGATCTCTCAGACATATGCATGAGGTGTTACCAGTTGAGTTAACTCGTCCGGGTCATTAACAAATATTTTCTCTATTTCCTCGGGTTATTTTGAAAAGTCTATATGAATGAGTTTTTACGTGTTTTAATGTCACAACGATATAACCATTACTGATACTGGCTAGTGTTCTAAAGTATAATGACAAAACCTATCTACGTACAGAATTTTTTGGTTAGGTGTTTCATAAAACTTAAAACCCCGTAATTACATACACATATATAATATATAGATAAATATGTATTTTTAGAATTTCAAAAGCTAGAACCCCTAATCTAAACACTTAAAAACTTAAAACTTTTCATTACGTCATTAGATTTTAGTCCACTAGTCAGCATCAGTTATGGACCTATGGTTACGTCAATCTCACCTTAAAACACGCTAGACACCAAAGCCTACAATCTGCCTTTTACCCCTTTAAACACTTAAAAGAAGAAAGGAAAATAAACTGACATTTATCATTTAGTTAACACTTTCAAAAGGTTATACACCCTTGCAAAGATGATCAAAACCCCATGTAATTTTTATATCATCATTTAAAGAAAGCTGAAGTTAAATAGCCAACTTTTCAGAAAAGTTATTAGCAAAAAAAAATTGAAAAATATTAGTATGGTACATGTACTCTCTATAGTCATAATTAATTTAATCTTAACGTGAGGGGGTGCAGGCCCGGCCCGAAGAAAATATGGGCCGGAAGCAAAAAAAAATAATTGGGCCTATTAATTAAAACTATGTAACTAGGACACCTTGAATTTGGACACATTTCACACATCAAATCCAGCCTTAAACCAATTACGCTATCAAAGATAATGACAATTTGAAGGCCGAAAATTTTGATAATCTAATTAGGGCCGGAATCACATGCTTGTATTGCTTGTACTCAGGGCCGCTACTGGGGGGTGGGTGTGCGGACACGGCACGGGCACAAGAGTGAGATTTGGTGCTAGACGAGTTACGAAGGGAAGTGTGTTTGTGTAGTGATAATGAATGTGATGTTAACAACACAAAGACATTTCTTCTTACTTTCGACTTCATATTTTGATCCACGCCAACGACTTATTAGTATCAGTTTTATGCTAATTAATTTAGTTTTTATATATTTAATTAAAATGAAATTGAAACTTTACATTACGGGGCCTTTTGTTTGAGTCTGGCTATATGTTTTGGTTTTATAACTGAAATGAAATAAGCCCAACAAAGAACCTTGGGCTAATCCGAGCCCACTTAAAACTAAACCGTAATTGAAGCCAAACCAACTAAACCGAAGAATTAACACCAAATCACAAAGATAATTTAAATATATTTCCATCTTTCCATTAATCTCAAATAACCCTTTTTAAATATTTATCATAAAAATAGACCTAAAACATTAAAATGACCAAAATAACATTTTTTATTTTGAAAATTTTAAGTTTTTATTTTTATTTTTAAAATTTAAATTCATATCCCCAAAACCGCACTCCTCAATTCTAAACAAAAAAATCTAGGATTAGTTAATCCAAAGGCATAAATATATATTTAATAAAATATTTAAATGCTATTTTGGTCATTTTAATTGTTAAAGTCTATATTTGTAACAAAAACTTTTTAAGTTATATCTTAGTCATTTTCTCTTCCATTAATCTAAAATAAATTTCGAAACATTTAAATAAAATAAAAATAAAACAATAATTTTGGAAATTTTGATGGTACAGATTTAACTAAGAAAACCGGAATCAAACCAAACTAAACCGTATCAAACTGATGAATACTAAAAGACAAACCAAAAAAGTCCTAACGAAATAAATCCAAACGATAACCAACTTATTGTCAAATGCGCGTAATTCCTCGCCATAATTTTGACCGTTCGATTAATCAAAACCAAACGAACGGTCACGATCTCTCGATCATCATCTTCTTCATTTCAACAAAGAGAGTCCTTAACGCCGGCTGAATTTAAAAAAAAAAAAAAATCAACCACTCCATCTCGTGTTGACCACTCCAATTTCAATCTCAGATCTCGAAAATGGCAGCGAAAATCTCTCAGCTTGCTTGTTTCTCCTCCACCAATCGCCAATTCCATTTCCAGAATCGATCGTTCCCGGGCCTTAGGTTCCGTCCCCAGGTAAAAGGACAGAGCTTTCTTCATTTTGATCTTGTTACAGTGATGCCCATTTTCGTAATTTCATGATTGCTGTCAAAAAGTTATGAGCTTGATTGGTTTTTAGTCGTAACTCAGAGACTTAGAAATGGTTCCCTCTTTGTTTACATTAGCTTATGTTTCTTAGGAAGTGTAAAAAGTTACGAGCTTGATTGGTTTTAGGACATTAGCTTATGTTTCTTTTAGAAATGATTTTAGGACAATCTCGTTCAGTTCTTTGCTTGTTTGTCGCTATGTGCTTAGAATTGCGTTATCTGGTGGTAATTGTAGATTTGTAATGGCTATAACTCGCTTAGAATTGGTTTTAGACATTAGCTTATGTTTCTTTTAGAAATGGTTACTTGAGATTTTAGGACAATCTCATCCAGTTCTTTGCTTGTTTGTCGCTATGTGCTTAGAATGCGTTATCTGATGGTTCATGTTTGGACTTGGAATTGCTTCCCTCTTTGTTTACATTAGCTTATGTTTCTTAGGAAGTGTAAAAAGTTACGAGCTTGATTGGTTTTAGGACATTAGCTTATGTTTCTTAGAAATGGTTACTTGAGATTTTAGGAAAAATCTCATCCCAGTTCTTTGCTTGTTTGTCGCTATGTGCTTAGAATTGCGTTATCTGATGGTTCATGTTTGGACTTGGAATTGCTTCCCTCTTTGTTTACATTAGCTTATGTTTCTTAGGAAGTGTTAAAAGTTACGAGCTTGATTGGTTTTAGGACATTAGCTTATGTTTCTTTTTGAAATGGTTACTTGAGATTTTAGGACAATCTCATCCCAGTTCTTTGCTTGTATGTCGCTATGTGCTTAGAATTGCGTTATCTGGTGGTAACTGTAGTGGCTATAACTCGCTTAGAATTGGTGCAGTCTTTTGTAGTTAGAAGCGTTGATGGGAACAGCTCAGAAACACCAGCTTCTTTGAGCTATACAGCTGAGGTTTCGAAACCTTTCGTTGAGAAAACATCGAACTCTACAGTGGATGAATCTGCTGCTGGTAAAGAGATTATCACAGAGCCAGTAGAGGAACATGTTGCCTCAACGCAGCCAAAGAGAGCAGCAAAGATCCATGACTTTTGTTTTGGCATTCCTTATGGTACTTTGTGACTCTCTCTCAGAAGAATTTAATTTCAAATCTTAGCGTTACTGAGCTGCCTTTTAAAGTTTCTAGAGCAACCCATATCAGAATATTTATTGTCAGGGTAAGTCATTGGTGTTAATTTGCTTCTCAGGTGGTCTGGTTATGAGTGGAGGGTTGCTTGGATTTGCGTTTTCACGAAATCTTACAAGTTTAAGTACTGGGGTCCTCTATGGTGGTGGCCTTCTAGCTCTTAGTACATTGAGCATGAAGATTTGGCGACAGGGAAAATCTAGTTTCCCTTATATACTAGGTCAAGCAGGTAATCTCCATCTACTTTTTCATGAACAATTGTTGTGTGTTTTGTAATAAGTGGACATCTCTTAACCAAGATCATTATGTTCACATGAATTATCGAGAGGTCCATTTTATCTATGAAAGCTTTTGTGCTTACACATTCTTTTGACCCCATGAATTTGCAGTGCTTTCAGCTGTAGTCTTCTGGAAGAACTTCACAGCTTATTCTATGGTAATTCCATCATCTCTGTGATCATCCTGATTGTTTAATTTTTGCGTGCTTGACTTCAACTGCTTGTACTTATGCAGACTAAAAAGCTGTTTCCTGCTGGACTTTTTGCTGTCGTCAGGTAAGAAATCATTTTGCAATCTATAAGAGTATGTATCTATTTATTGGCTTCATTATGTAACCTTGTGTTTGTCTCTATTTCACTGCAGTGCTGCCATGTTGTGTTTCTATTCGTATGTGGTGCTCTCTGGAGGAAACCCACCTCCAAAGAAACTGAAACCATCTGCTACTCCTTCATACTGAGAAACTTTTCATAGGTTAGGATTAAAAACTTGGAGATCTCTCTTGTGCGTTGGATCCTGGTGTATTTATACTTGTTGAGTGGCACCAACTATGGCTTGTTCTTTCCTGTGTCGCAATTCAAAGTTTTGTTTACTAGTGAGTGGTGACATATAATATGTTTTTCTTTAATCTTAATGGGACTAGTGTAAGGCAGAAACTTATGTTGGCTTAATCATAAGTCAAAAACCTTACGCCTTGATTTAACTATAAACTCCAGGAGATTAAACAAAGGGTTGATCTGATTAACGCAACTAAGAAAAGGTCTGAATCCAACATTAAATAGTTTTTTTTGGAAAGATCACCATGTGTATAGGCATGTTTCAAAGGACAAAAACAATTGATTCCAGACAAAACAAAACGCTGCTTATCTAGGAAAAGGTCTTAAGGACAGAGTCTGACAGCAAAATTGTGGTTAACGAGCTGCTTGCCCCTGTGTGTGTTCCAAGAGCTGAGTCACTAACTTGTAAGTCCGTCCTGACAAGGCTTTGGTGTGGTTAACCAACTGCTCATGCCTGCATCACATGGGAAACGAGTTTAGACTGTAGAATGTTCAGACACTAAGGACTACTATAAGATGGTTATCTTCTTACACGTTGGGCTGAGTAGGCTCCATGATTACGGTTCCTGACTCGGAATCAATCTTGGCATCAAGCTTTGACGTGCGGATAAGGTTCACAATCCATCTCTCTGCCTCCTCATAGTTAAGATTCAGTTTCTCAGCAAGCACCCTGACAAGGCCATGAAATTTTCAACATAAATACAGAATTACAATACCACACAGAATCTTATTGCCATCATCAAAAGCAGCCAGGTACTAAAACTTAGCAGTTCCATGAGAAGTGGACGAAGAGAATAGAGGGAACATGATAACTTACCCCATGTCAATTCTCTGATGAATTCTGCAATAGGTTTCGAAGATAAAAAGGCGAGCATTTTCAAGAAACTCATCTCTCAGTGGTACAGTTGAAAAGTTACCATTCTCTACTCGCTTTCCAAGGAATGGATCATTCACAATGACCTACACATCATAGTAACATGTCAGACTCTTGATTATATCTAATCCTGCAGAATTTCCAAAAATACAAAAGGCTTTACTACCTCTTCAGACTCTTTCATCTTCTTTTGAGCTCCATCAAAGTCATAATTGACAAACACACATGCCAGGAACTCCACAATAGGATCTTTGTAGGAGTAGTGCTCTTGTTGAATGACCTTGATGAACTCTTTCAGTTGAGGTCTTTTCCTTTTGTTGACAATGAAAGCAGTTGCCAAGTAACGCAGCAAGTGTGGAGCACTAGTTTGTATGGCATTCAGATACCTAAAAACATATAAACTACTATTAGTATACGTTAAAGTGAAGTAAGGATGTTACTTTGCTACTATATAGCAAGGGTTTCACTTACTTGTCTTGGTTAAAAAGATCAATGATTTGAGTCCTTCCGTTATCATGGTTAAAAAAGATGTAAAGACCCCAATGCATCAACCAAATCCTGTTCTGCACTTGGTTTAACGGCGAAGCAAAACTCTGAACAAAAACAAATGCTAATTAGTATATATATATATACATACTCACATAAGGCTACAAAAGCTAGAAGAGTCTATCAGACCTTGGAGTCAATAATATCTTTAACACGGTTAAGCTCTTCAAATGCAATGTCCCAGTTCTGCATCAATATCTCAGATGCAAGCTTTCCCCACAAGGCGCTTAAACTTCTCTCAAGGTTAGAGCAAAGGGTTCTGTACTGGTAAAGGTAATCAGCAGCACCAGAGTAGTTACCACACTCAAACTGAAACTTGGCGTACTGATACAACGCCTCAATCTGGTCCGGACCAATCTGATTAAAAAAACATCACATACAACAAGAACTTAGTTCCTCAATATCTAAGCAGCTCCCTAGGCGGAAAACTGGCATAACCAAATGATTTTATGACTCAAATAGATTTAAACTGTTAAAAAATCGGTAAAAATCGATCTAAATCGATATATATTGGTCTAAATTTATTAAACCAATCTATAAATTCATACAATCTCTTTTTCTTGTGTAACTAATTTTTGTAGTTCATCAAAACAGTTTTGTAATTTAACTCAATAGTTAGCTCCAACACTAATCCAACTAGGAGCTAGGCTTCAACAAAATGTCTAGTTACCATCTAACGATTTCTTCTTGAACATTCCTTAATACCAAATGCAAACCAGATAACTTTTAATGCAAATCAGATAACTCTTAATGCAAATCAGACAACTCTTTATGAAAATCAGACAACTTTGTGTGCAAATCAGACATCTTCTTGTTGCATAAAGCAAACAATTTCATCAAAACAAAACACACAAACCTGGTAACGTTCCTTCAACATCTGGAGATTATACTGCTTATCAGCCCTAAGCTCCTGAACCGCAGCAGGGTTCAAAAGAAAAGTCACGAGCGGTGCTGCCGCCTCCTCCAGAGACTTAAGCCTCGCCACAACCTCAGCTCTCCTCTCCACCATATCTATCAACCACCAACACACCAAGACTCATCATCAAACCAACCAATCAAAACCACAAAGACGCACACTTTCAAAGATAAAAGCCACAAAGACGCAAACTTTCAAAGATTCATCATTAACCAATCAATCCCACAAAAGACGCAAACTTTCAAAAAATCATCAATCAACCAATCAAACCCACAAAGACTCAAACTTTCAAAGATTCATCATCAACCAATCAAACCCACAAAGACACAAACTTTCAAAAATTCATCATCAAACCAATCAAAGCAACAAAGACACAAACTTTCAAAAATTCATCATCAAACCAATCAAACCCACAAAGACACAAACTTTCACAGATTCATCAATCAAACCAATCAAACCCACAAAGACACAAACTTTCAAAAATTCATCATCAAACCAATCAAAGCAACAAAGACACAAACTTTCAAAAATTCATCATCAAACCAATCAAACCCACAAAGACACAAACTTTCACAGATTCATCAATCAACCAATCAAACCCACAAAGACACAAACTTTCAAAAAAATTCATCATCAAACCAACCAATCAAAGCCACACAAAGACACAAACTTTAAACATACATTATTATTATATACCTTGAGGAGCATCTTCAGTGTGGTAAAGACTCTTGTGAATATCCATAGCGTAATCAACCATGTTGGTTTTGTTCAAAAGCTCGATCTTGAACTTGAGGATCTGCTCATCGGGGTAAAGCTGACGCTCTTGAAGGAACTCGAGGATGGGGAAGACAAGGTGTCTGTCTAGGTTGGGAGCTACTCTTGGTGTTAAGTCGTAGTTCTCTTTAGTTTCCGTCATTATCGTCATGATCTCTCTCTATTATCTCCGTCGAGCTCTAAAGAAGGCAGAGATGAAGTTTTGGGGAGGAGGAGGAAACTGTGTATAGTGAAATTAGGGTTACCTCGAAAAATACTTTCAATATTTATTTAAATAGCCCCTATACTTCTTTTATATCTTCTTATGACCTCTAGTTTCTCTTTTTAGTTTAACGACACCGCTTTCTGCCGTGGGATTTTTCTCGTCTCCGTCATGATCTTACCGGCCGTTTTTTTTTTTTTGACAAAACCGGCCGGTTGTGTTTTTTAGAGTATATTTTTACAGAAAAAAATTAAATAATTTTTATGGAGTAATGGATTTTTTTGTTTCAACACCATTCTATTTCTCACTTGTAAATTATGAAGTAAAACTGAAGATTCTCTAAAGAATTTACATGGAATGACGTATGTTAGTATTTATGTATATATTTTGCTTAGACCATTTCTAATAGAACACTATTTTTTCTTTTATATTTTACACAAAATATAGTATCTCTATTATAGAGTTAAATGTACTATAATGGTTAATTGTACTCTATTATAGTGTTAGTTATAGATGGATATTTCTTTTTTAGGGCATCTCCTACCCTACTATATTTTTCACTCCAAAATAAAGTTTTGACTAAAAGTGTTCCAATGATATTTTATATCTCACTCTACAATATAGTGAAAAATAGGTTTAGAGTAAAAAATAGATTAAACTATTGGAGATGGCCTTACTCCAAAATATAGAGTAAAAATCTAATATCCCTCTAAATTTCACACTATAATAAAGTAATTCTATTATAGAGTAAACTATTGGAATAAATTCAACACTATAATAGAATTATTCTATTATAGTATAAAATATAGAGAAAACAATAGTGCTCTATTGGAGATGACCTTATGTATGTTCTTATTTGCCCATATAATACATATACAATATATTTTCTATAATTAATATTCGGTAATTTTCTCAAATATATCATTTTATGTTTTATCACAAAATAGACTTAAGAAACTAAAACAACCAAAATAATATTTTTTATTTTAAAAATTTCAAGTTTTTTTTTACCTTTTAAAATTGGAAATCATATATCTCCAAAACCCCACACCTCAACTCTAAACAAAAAAAGTCTAGAATTAGTTATCTATGTATATTTGATAAAACCTTTAAGTCTATTTTGGTTATTTTTATTTTTAAAGTTTCTATTTGCGACAAAATAAAAAATTTAGTTCTGTCATAAGAAATTTCTCTTTAATATTTGATAAATTAATAATATTTTTAAATGAATAAATTTATAGATTTCTAATTCAAAAATTGATAAAATAATAAATTAATAAAATTTTAAATTAATAAAATTTTAAATTAATAAATAAATTTATAGATAATTCTATGTAAATATATGGTCCTATAAAAATTATAAATTAATAATATATATATATATACATATTTTATATAAGTAGAAATACATTATTTGTTTTATATTCCCAAATAATATTCACATGTATTAGAATAAATATATCTCAAAGAAAAAATATTAATAAGATTTTTTTGTAAATTAATATCTTTATGAAATAATCCAATTTCAGAGTTTTAATATTATTGATTTAATAAAGGTTCAACTATATTCTTATCTGCTCCCCAAATTTTATTTTTAGTCAAACGACACCGTTTCTCTCGATGGATCTTTATCGTCTCCGTCGTTATCCTACCGGCGATTATAATATCGGAGAGGAGTTTTGCAATAAAAGAAAAAAAAGGAAAATAAATGATTTGTGGAGGAGGGCGCAGGTTAAGAAGCTTTCATGGAAACGCGTATGTTAGTAACCCCACTAACTTACGCACCTCTTCTTTTACCTTTCGTCTCTATCATACATGGGATTAGGGTTCTTCTTCCTCGAGACGAACCTCTTTTCTCATTATCTCTCTCTCTCTCATAACGAATGCTCCGCAGCTTTTAAAGGGTTCTCACTCTCCGCAAAATACGACGCCGTTCTCTCATGGATCCTCCGAGAAGACACTTCAAGGACTCTCGTTACGCCAATCTCTTCGATCTCGAGGTCTGTACTGTCTCAAAGTTTCTTCCTTTCGAATCAAACACTATTTGATATGCTCTGTTTGATGCTGTTTATGTGATTTTAGCTAATAAAGTTTCAACCTTTGCAGCCTTTGATGAACTTTAGGATTCCGAGGCATGAAGAGGAATCTGATTACTATGGGAGTAGTAGCCAAGATGAAACTAGAGGCAATCAAGGTACTAACTTTATTGTGTTTTATGATCAAAGGTCCAAACTTTATTGATACTATGAGTGATATTATTGCATGTGTCTGGGTTTTATGATCAAAGGTCCAAACTTTATTGATACTATGAGTGATATTTTTGCATGTGTTTAAATGTTTGGTGATGGTCTTAGGTGGGTTAGTAGCAAACTATGGTAATGGTGTTAAACTTGGGAGGAATTCGAGTTCCAAGAAGAGAAAGAGGTGGATAGAAGCTGATGATGATGATGGTGATGATGATGATGTAGAGGATGGGTATGACCAGTATAGTCAACGTGTTACTGAGGAGCGTTACAGAGCAATGCTTGGAGAGCATGTTCAAAGATTAAAAAGTAGGTCTAAGGAGTCTCGAGGGAACCATCACGCTCCTTTGTTGGGTGTTCCGGTGAGGAAGAGTAATGTGGGGGTTAACAGAAGTAGGAATGATCACCATAGCCATAAGAGATTCTATGACGTGGATGCCTCGTCGAATTTTGCAGCTGATGGGATGATCCCACAAAGGCGAGGAAGCTATCGTGAAACGAACATTACCCCCAAGTATGTGTAGTCCCTTATGGTTATCTAATGTGTTGAGTTTCTTCGATTGACATTTTCGAATTTTTTTGTATCTTTTTGCAGAATAGCATATGAGCCTTCGTATTTGGATATTGGGGAAGGTGTTGTCTACAAGATCCCTCCGAGTTATGACAAGCTTGCGGCGTCGTTAAACTTACCAAGCTTTTCAGATATTCATTTGGACGATTTTTACTTGAAAGGAGCTCTGGATTTGAGGTCATTAGCAGAACTGATGGCTAGGGATAAAAAGTCTGGAGCTAGAAGCCGTAATGGAATGGGTGAGCCTCGAACTCAGTATGATTCTCTTCAAGCTAGAGTGAAGGCCTTGTCAGCTTCAAACTCCAGCCCTAACTTTAGCCTCAAGGTGTCAGAAGAGGCAATGAACTCTGTCATTCCTGAAGGAGCTGCTGGAACTACTGCACGGACGATACTATCAGAGGGTGGTGTTTTACAGGTCCATTACGTCAAGGTTCTAGAGAAGGGAGATACGTATGAGGTAATGTATTATCCTTCACGCATGTATCAACAATATTTATTTTCCTGACATTCTTATATGTATCCTTTCTTCAGATTGTTCAACGAAGTCTACCTAAGAAGCTGAAGGTGAAGAATGATCCTGCAGTAATTGAAAAGACAGAAAGAGACAAGATTAGAAAAGCTTGGATCAACATTGTCAGAAGAGATATACCAAAACACCATAGAGTTTTCACAACTTTTCATCGGAAACAATCAATTGATGCCAAGAGGTTTGCAGATGGTTGCCAACGAGAGGTAATTGAAGTTGATTCTCATTTAGATTTATTTTTTATGTTACTTTTTAAACAGCCATTCTCTTGCATTTCATCTTAGCGTAAGCTCTCATTTATTGTTACGTTGAGTTCACAGGTTAGAATGAAAGTGGCCAGATCATTCAAACTGCCAAGGAGTGCACCAATTCGCACCAGAAAGATATCTAGGGATATGCTGCTATTTTGGAAACGGTTTGACAAACAGATGGTACATTTTTTATCCTCCCTAGACTCTGTAGTGCGCTTACAGGCTGCTAACTAGATCTGATTACACATTCTGCTGCCAAATTTGTTTGATCATACATGCTTTGTTTTCCCTTTTTCTTAGATAAGGATTTAAACAGTACTGACAACTCTATAAACTAGGCTATAGAAAGGGATGAAGTTAACTAGGAAGAATTGATTTCAAATGTTATTATGTCATTCTTCTGCTAAGGTCATTTGAATGGTGCACTTGGACTAAATTGACTATGTTGACAGGCAGAAGAGAGGAAAAAACAAGAAAAGGAAGCGGCAGAGGCATTAAAACGTGAACAGGAGCTTCGAGAGGCACAAAGGCAGCAACAGAGGCTCAATTTTTTGATTCAACAGACTGAACTTTTCAGTCACTTCATGCAAAACAAAACCGATGCAATGCCTTCCGAATCCCTGCCGATAGGAGATGAGAATCTGGTTGACGAAGGTGTCCAAGAACCTTCAGAAGCAAAACTTTCTGAGGTGGAGGATCCTGAAGATGCTAAAACGAAGGAAGAGGCCCTGAAGGCTGCCCGAGAGGCAGTGTCTAAGCAGAGAAAAATAACAGATGCATTTGACACTGAATATATGAAGCTACAGCAAACTTCTGAGATGGAAGGGCCATCAAATGATGTCTCAGTCTCGGGCTCCGGCAATATAGACTTACATAACCCGTGAGTTTGTGTTCTTGTCACTGCTTCATTTTATCTTCTTGATTTTTATAATGCCAAGCCAATTAACTCTCTCTACTTGTAGATCTACAATGCCTGTTACATCAACAGTTCAGACTCCGGAAATGTTTAGAGGAACTCTAAAAGAATACCAAATGAAAGGTCTTCAGTGGCTAGTGAATTGTTACGAGCAGGTTATCTCAACTTATGTACATTTATTATTTCTTGTGGTTTCATAGAGCAAATCATCTTTCAGAATGGGTATATGCTAAGATTATTTTTTTATATTTTCCAGGGTTTGAATGGTATACTTGCTGATGAAATGGGTTTGGGTAAGACTATTCAAGCTATGGCGTTCTTAGCACATTTGGCTGAGGTAAATCTAACTGTTGGTCCATTTTATCTCTTTTGGTTTGGCTATGTTAAAACTCTTTCATCATCTCACGCAGGAGAAAAACATTTGGGGTCCATTTCTGGTTGTTGCACCTGCTTCTGTTCTTAACAACTGGGCTGATGAGATCAGTCGTTTCTGTCCTGACTTGAAAACTCTTCCGTATTGGGGAGGATTACAAGAACGGACAATTTTAAGAAAGAATATCAATCCCAAGCGTATGTACCGAAGGTAACGGCTGTGTGTTATTTTTTCGGGTTGTAATGATTTGCGTGTGACCTCTGCTTATTCTCTCAAAGGCTTAGCAATCAATAAATCTTCTTTGCTATTTTTCTGAATTTTCTCAGTTGACTCCCCACCTTTTCAGGGATGCTGGTTTTCATATCTTAATTACCAGCTATCAGCTATTAGTAACCGATGAAAAGTATTTTCGCCGGGTGAAGTGGCAGTATATGGTGCTAGATGAGGCTCAGGCAATCAAAAGTTCTACAAGGTTTTTACTTTAACCTCTAGTTAGTTGAATCAGGGTTGCTTGTGTTCGCAGTGATCATCTTGTTCCACTCTTTAATTTACTTTTGTTTGATTTAGCTTGAAGATCTATTGAAATGCTAAATTCTTATGCAAGTTCATTTTCCCTTTTTCTTTGACAGTATAAGGTGGAAGACCCTTCTTAGTTTCAACTGTCGGAACCGATTGCTTCTGACTGGTACTCCAATTCAGAATAACATGGCGGAGTTATGGGCCTTGCTGCACTTCATCATGCCGATGGTGTTCGACAGCCATGAACAATTTAATGAGTGGTTCTCAAAAGGGTATGTACTATTTTCTTGTTTGATGGTCTTGAAAAAGTATGTAGTGAACAATCTAGGAAATAGTTTATGAGACATCATCTATATTTGATTAACAGAATCGAGAATCATGCTGAACATGGAGGTACTTTAAACGAGCACCAGCTTAACAGACTGGTGAGATTTCACCTCAAGCTCTTTTAGTTTCTGTCTGCTTCTGATTTTTAGTTACTCACATTTTTTTTCCTTTTCCAAAACAGCATGCAGTATTAAAGCCATTCATGCTCCGACGTGTCAAAAAGGATGTGGTTTCTGAGCTAACTAGAAAGACGGAAGTTACAGTACACTGCAAGCTCAGTTCTCGACAACAAGCGTTCTATCAGGCTATCAAGAACAAAATTTCTCTGGCTGAGTTGTTTGACAGCAACCGTGGGCATTTTAATGACAAGAAAATATTGAATTTAATGAACATCGTCATTCAACTTAGGAAGGCAAGCCCTCGTGTCCCCCTGCTTTCTTTTAATGTCTTGTCCTGCTTTCTCATACATTATTCAACATTAAGTTGTATCTGTCTCTCAAACAACATATGTGCAAGACTGTGGCTTATAATAGTATAATTGCGTCTACAATGTCAGGTTTGCAACCATCCAGAGTTGTTCGAAAGGAATGAAGGAAGCTCGTATCTCTACTTTGGAGTGATGTCCAATTCCCTTTTGCCCCCTCCCTTTGGTGAGCTAGAGGATATACATTATTCTGGTGGTCATAATCCCATAACATACAAGGTGGAATTCAATAACCTTATATAAGTTCCAAGGTCGACGATAATCTAGTAGTCTCTAACGTTTGGTTTCTATCTTTCAATTCTCTTTCAGATACCTAAACTTCTACATAAAGAAATGCTCCAAAACTCTGAAACATTTTGTTCTTCAATCGGGAAGGGCTTATCAAGAGAATCCTTTCTGAAGCGTTTTAATATATTTTCACCAGAGTATATTCGTAGGTCAACACTCCCATCTGAAAGTAGCGTAGATCAAGCAGTTAGTGGAAGTGGAGCATTTGGCTTTTCCCGTTTGATGGATTTATCACCATCAGAAGTTGGATATTTAGCTTTGTGTTCCATCATGGAAAGGCTGTTATTCTCTATACTGAAATGGGAGCGGCGATTCTTGGATGAAATAGTAGACTCTTTTATGGAATCCACAGATGATGATCTTAGTGGAGATAACATCACAAGGGCTAAAACCAGAGCTGTCACAAGAATGTTGTTGATGCCATCAAAAGTTGAAACGAGTTTGTTGAAAGGCAGAGTAGGCGCAGGGCTTACCTCTCACTCATTTGAATCTCTAGTGGTCTCTCATCAGGATAGGCTACTTTCAAACATCAAACTCCTACATTCTGCATATACTTTTATCCCTAAAGCCAGAGCTCCACCGGTATGGTTTCTTAGAAGTCTGAAGTTACAAACGATTAACATTGGTAGTTTCCTTACCAAGCCTTCTCAGCCATGTTTTTGAACTTTTGTTTTTCAGGTAGGCGTTCATTGCTCGGACAGAAACTCTGCATATAGAATTACAGAGGAAATGCATCAACCATGGCTTAAGAGGCTGTTACTCGGATTTGCAAGAACATCTGAAGCTAATGGTCCCAGGAAGCCGAACAACCTTCCACATCCGTTAATACAAGAGATTGACTCGGAGCTCCCAGTTGTGCAACCTGCGCTTCAACTGACCCATAGAATCTTTGGCTCTTGCCCTCCTATGCAAAGTTTTGACCCTGCAAAGCTGCTCACGGTTTGTTTCTTCTCTTTTTGCATCTTCCTTTAACTACGGGCTCTTTGTTTCTTATCAAAAGATTTGGATCGTAGGACTCTGGGAAGCTGCAGACACTTGATATATTATTGAAACGACTTCGAGCTGGAAATCACAGGGTGCTCCTCTTTGCTCAAATGACAAAGATGCTTAATATTCTAGAGGTAATAATACAAAAGAATATTTGGTTTTACGTCTAACAAACATCCATATCTACACCTTTTGCTTTACATTTCGACTTAAATTTTTATGCAGGATTACATGAACTATAGAAAGTATAAGTACCTCAGGCTTGATGGATCATCCACCATCATGGATCGCCGAGATATGGTTAGGGATTTTCAGCAAAGGTATGAGGAATTAACTTTTCACATGCCTTATTCTTGTAACCAGTGAGGCTGGCTGTGCACAAAAAGTGTAAAACCCTGTACATGGTTTGCAGGAACGATATTTTTGTATTCTTGCTGAGCACCAGAGCTGGAGGACTTGGTATCAACTTGACGGCTGCTGACACAGTCATTTTCTATGAAAGTGATTGGAATCCCACCTTGGATTTACAAGCTATGGACAGAGCTCATCGTCTTGGTCAGACAAAAGATGTAAGTGATTCCCTCTGTTTTTTATTCTTCAACTCAGTTTCGAACTTGACTTATTCTGAAACGAAAAACCTCGTTATAGGTTACTGTTTATCGGCTCATCTGCAAGGAGACGGTAGAAGAGAAAATTCTGCACAGGGCAAGTCAGAAAAATACAGTTCAACAGCTTGTAATGACAGGAGGTCATGTTCAGGGTGATGATGTTTTTGGAACTGCGGATGTGGTATCGTTGCTTATGGATGATGCAGAGGCAGCACAACTGGAGCAGAAAATCAGAGAACTACCATTACAGGTTAGGACAGAACAGCATTCTAATTTCCGCTTAAGTATTTGGCCTAATATATATTTAAAAATAAGGAGAAGGTAACTCAAAATGAATTTTGTCTTCCAGGTAAAGGACAGGCAGAAGAGAAAACAGCCAATGAAACGTATCAGAATAGATGCTGAAGGAGATGCAGCTTTGGAAGAGTTGGATGATGCTACTGAACGACAGGATAATGGGGAGGAACTTCACCAAGAACCGGAAATTACAAAACCTACTAACAAAAAGGTATCTATGCTACAAGCTCAGACTCTGTCTTTCTAAAGATTTATCAGCAAATGAAAATGATGACACTAAGAGTTGGTTGACTTATCAAGCATTGTCTTGGTTCTAAGTTGATAACTTCTGGCTTGAGTGTATTACTAAAAGGCGTGTGTCATATCTGGTGATTTGCAGAGGAAAGCCACTCCTTCAATTCCGAGACCTAGAGCTCCACAGAAAGCAAAGGAAGAAGAGAATGGAGAAGGAGATGATGCTCCTCTTCAACCTCAGAGAACAAAAAGGGTAAAGAGACAAACAAAGAGCATTAACGAGTCTCTTGAACCTGCATCAGTTACTCCAACAAATGGAGAATTCAACCCAAGTAGCTCTAATGCAGATGCTGACTAATCCTAAGAATGTTAAAGCTTTAATAGATATCAACTCCATGCAGGTTTTAGTAAACTTGGTTCCTAGCTTTTAAGCTAATTGTACAGATTTTAATAAATAAGCTTTTACTCTTTAACCTACATCGATCTAATGGTATGTACATGTTTAAATATTGTTGGCAATTCATAGTGAATTTTGTTATATTGGTTGATTATATTTTGGTATGGTCATCCAGACCCTCTCAAGTAAGATATGTTTCTAGCTCATCCTGTTTGCTTAACCAAACAATGATATGTTTGGTTTGAAACAATGTTGTTGTATATGTTTTCTAGTGCAATCAATGTGGTGCAAACCTAATTGATGTGTTCCTTTTTCCTCAAGTGTTTTTCCCCACCCAAGGATTATAATAGGGAAAACAAACTCTGTGTTGCAATATTAATTTCAGGCAGCAGAAATTTGAGAATAGAGATGATGGAGTTTGGGACAACTCATGAGGTTAGTCCCATAGGGAAGCATCAAGCTACTATTGTCTGGCTACATGGCATTGGCGAAAATGGCTCCAAGTATGTATGCCTGACGTTGGTTTTTTCATTTTTTTGAAAATTAGATAGCATCCTAGCTTTCATATTACGGTTTCAAGTTGAGTTCCGGACCTTTTCTGGATGGTGGATACTCTAATGTCTTTCAGTTATGAGTGGTACTTGTCGTTGTACCTTAGTTTTCTTCTTATATGCATTAATCTCACTTCACCATCAGCAGAGAGAAATAATTGAACTGATGCTAGTGTTCATGACTGCAGGTGGTCTCAGGTTTTTTAACCGATCTCCAGCAGTTGCCTTAGTTATTATGTTAAGCATGCTCAGTTACTTTTACCTTTTGTCAGTATTATTAACCCATCTTTGTATCTGTGATGTAGATCAAATGGATATGCCCCACTGCTCCTTGTCAACCAATAAGTTTGTTTGGTGGTTTTCCCTCCACAGCTTGTAAGTTATTTGCTACATAGAAAGTGAGGTTAAAGGGAGCTGCAGTTAATTTATAAATCATGCTCTTGCAAATGAATTTGCTGACCAAACCCCCCAAATTTTGGTTTGAAATTCGGAATTGATGAACAAAAACTAGTATATAAGCAAGCCCTCTAAGCAAAGGAGACAACCAAATATTAGATCAAACTCTTACATGTCTGCAGCTTTTTTTCTTAAAACTCATCTTGGCTTGTGGTTGAGAGTATTAGCCAAACACATCTTTGGTTTTGGCTCCACATCATTTTTGACCAAAGAATCCTTGTATTTGTAATTTCTTAATAATAGTAGGAGTATCTAATTATCTATGCAAAAGTTAATCATCTAAACAGTGAGTGTTTTGTGGATGATGTTAACTTGTTATCTCCAAGGACACTGGTTGGCAAACTAGAAGAGGAACAGATCAAGAACCAAGCTGCATCGTTACCCATTTCAGTTTGTCATGGAAAAGGTAACTAAGCAATGCATTCTCTAAGACCGATTCATTAAAGTAATACGAGTGTTTCATTTTATAATTTTTATTCTACTGTTCTTGTACTGATTCTTCATGTACCTTTTGGTTTTCTAGATGATAATGTTGCGCCGTTCAAGTTGGGGGAGAAGTGCTCACAAGCCCTGATATCATATGGATTTAAGAAGACAACTTTCAAAAGTTACAGTCGATATGGTCACTACAGAAACAAGGAGGAGACTGATGATATGTGCGCGTGGTTGACAACCACCCTCGACCTCCAAGGTTATAACGACTCGTGAGAGTTTCATTGATTTGGATTTGGATCTTTTGGAGTTTCACTTAACATTTTACATTTAGCATATTTATGTAAGACTTAAGTGTCGTTTGGCACGTATATTTCGGTAGACTCAGTTGTGTTTGTTTTCTGGTGGTCGTAAGTTAGTAAGGTTATTTTGGAGAACTTCAAAAAATAATCAGATGGTTTCTTCAATAATTCAGAAAGGTATTAATTGTACATTCTTTTAAACAAGAAGTACTGAGGTCTATCTATCGTAGAAGAAATCGATCATGGAGTGTTTGGTTTGATGGTTGATGAGTCTGTAAATGTTTCTAACAAAGAGCAAACTGATATTTTTTGATATGTTGATAAAAGTGAACCAGTTAAAAAAGATTTGTGGGAGTTATTCATGTAAAAGAAATGTCTTCTTATCTATAAAATCTGCAAAACTGATGGCTTATTTGCAATACATGGGTTAATGGGTTGAGATTATTGGTTGGAGAAAGTAGTTTAGTCTACTACTAGGATAAGATCCGCGTCTTGCGCGGGATAAAGCTATTATTTTTATTATGTTTTAGAAAATGAAACAATTAGTTTGGTTTCATTCGGATTAGAGGTGTTTAATCGGGTATCGGGTTTTGGTTCGGCTCGATTTTTTGGTATTTCGATTTTTAAAATATAACTACTATTCTAAATCTATATGTACTTCAGTTTGGTTTGGTTTATATACCATCGATTTTTCAGTTTATTCAGTTTTATACCAAAAAACATAATTATTTAGTTTGAGATCATATTATATGTTATACAAATATTTTGAACAAAAAAAAAATGTTATACAAATATATAATATGATCATATTTAGAGTCATATTGTCACAGAGTCAGTTATTAAAAAATATTATATATTTAATTAAAAGAATAAAAACAAAAAGATTTCTATCATCTAATAAAATGATCAAATCTAGAATTAATATGAAAACACTAAATTTTGAAAATAAAACTAAAAAACAAAACAGAAGCATGAAAGAAAAGTTTTTTTATTCTTCCATATTTAGTGTTCATCAAACCAATATGTCTTCGATTGAACACAACTCTGTTTGTTTAAAAATTTAAAAAAGTTGTAAAGAATTTCAACTAATTGTTGTCCATCAAATTTATAATCTTTACTTCAATTTAGTTAGTGTTAAAAAAGCAAAAAGATCAAAATAAGAAGTCTCAGTTGTAATAAATTGTTAATTATTTACAAATTATAATTATAGTTCAACTCATGTAACAAATAGATATTCATGTGTCGTTATAAATATATACATATTTACATGTTTCAGTTTAATCGGTTATAAATCAAACCATATTCAAATCCTATGGTTTTTATAAAATCACATCCATTCGGTTTGTATGGTATATACCAAAATAACCATATTATTGATTGTTTAATATCTTTTAAAAATATAAAATTAAAAAAAAAGAACTAAGATATTTAAATCATTGATAACAAAAATTTTCAATGTGAAAAATTTAATAAGTTTATAATTTATAAATGTTCTTGAAAATTTATTGAAATTTTTGAAATTAAAATATTTATGTAATCTTATATGGTATATAGTTTAATCTGTATATATTTTTTTTTATTATTGAATGATACTTTTTACTTATATGGTTTATCTTTTTATAATAAAAATGTTAAACTATTGATCATTAATTTTTAACATAATAATTTTAATAGTTTTAGTTATTTATTCTCGTTTTTTAAATTCAAAATATAACCTATAGGAAAAAAATCTAAAGTTTAATTTTATAACTAATTTGATTGTTTAATTTATTTTAATAATATAAAATTAAAGAAAAATGATAGAGGATATATAAACTGTAAATATTTATTATAGAATCATTAATGGTAATTCCGTAGGTTTTATTTATGGAAATAAAATAAAATAGTAATTATATCTAGGGAAACAATCATAAATGTTTCTATCATAAATGTCATAGCATATCATCATATCATATATATTAGTCATTTATGGTAATTCCGTATGTTTTATTTATCGAAAGAAAATAAAATAGTAATTATATCTAGGGAAATAATCATAAATGCTTCTATCATAAATGTTATATCATATCATCATATCATATAATTTGACCAACGAATGTATCTAGCGACATATAAAAATTGAATGTGTACCTACTTATTTTTCAATTGAATGTAATTGACTACCTAATTAAATGATACCTAAATATGAGGTTTTTTTTAATTATTACAAAATTGAGGTTATAATTTTTCAATTTTTTCTCATTTAATATATATTATTTTGCTCATTAAGTTCCGCTACTTGTGGTTTTAAGTAGGGGTGGGCGTTCGGGTACCCATTCGGGTTCGGTTCAGATCTATTCGGGTTTCGGGTTTTCGGGTTCACAAATTTTAACCCCATTCGGATATTTCTAAATTTCGGTTCGGGTTCGGTTCGGGTTCGGATAACCCATTTAAATTATTTTTAAAATTTTAAAATTGATTATATACTTTACATTTCTAAAAATCTATAAAGAAAATAACATATTACAAATAATTGAATAACATAAGTCAAAATGCCTAAAATTAACATATAAATTAGTTTGATTTGAATATTTGGATTGTGAATCAATAATTTTTTAAANTTTTAAAATTGATTATATACTTTACATTTCTAAAAATCTATAAAGAAAATAACATATTACAAATAATTGAATAACATAAGTCAAAATGCCTAAAATTAACATATAAATTAGTTTGATTTGAATATTTGGATTGTGAATCAATAATTTTTTAAAGTATTTTTGATGTTTTAAGTGTACTTTAGTAATTTTAGACATGTATTTTTGACTATTTACATATATTTACAAGTATTTTGAACAACTACAACGTATTTTATATATATTGAATGTTTTTTATATATACATTAAATCTAAAAACAACTAATATATATAGGTATATAAATCTCTTTCGGATATATTCGGGTACCCGAAATACTTCGGTTTGGGTCGGGTTTGGTTTCGGTTCGTTAAATACCAAAATTTTGAACCCATTCGGATATTGAATCAATTTCGGTTCGGATTCGATACTACTTTTTCGGATCGGGTTCGGTTCGGTTCTTCGGATCCGGGTTTTTTGCCCAGCCCTAGTTTTAAGCCTATTTATATTATTTTTTCGCCCATTTCTTCTTCGTTCCTCATCAGTCTGCACTCTCGATTTACTTTGTCCACAAGCTTCAATTATCATCCGTAATGTTCGTCTCCAAATCGAATTACGTTGCTTTTAGGATCATTAAACTGACTAATAAACCCTAAATTTTGTGTTGTATAAACTCTCTCTCTCTCTCTCTCTCTCTCTCTCTCTCACTCACTCTCTGTGGAATCTTATATAAACCCTAGTCTGTTTCTTTTAGATAAGGGAATAAAGTTTTGATTTTTTTTATTGTTTCAGAGTTTAGGGTTTCTTCATCCGCAGGTTACTACTTCCGGCGAACACAAAAGGATGATGCTTTTTAGAAAATATCAAATTTGGTCTGTGAAATTGGAGTTGGACTGTTTGAAAACCTAATTGATTCGTTTATCTAATAGAACATGTTATGTAATTGTTTGAGCTGCTTCTGGGTTTTGGTGATTTGTTTCATCTCATTTAGTTAGAAGTCTAGAATCCTTGTAATTGTCAAGGTAATAAATCATTAATGTTATTTGTTATGTGTTATTATTCTCAGACAGCTCATTCTGTAATAAACTGAATTTGACTAGCTACTTGTTATGCGGTTCTTGTCTTGTCTTTTGTCTTAAGTAATGCTTTCAGCTTGTGAACTAATCTTGTCTTGTTTTTTTTTTTTTCTACAGCTACTGATACTATGGATCTCCCGTCACATGAAACAATTGCTGCAACGGATGCTGAGAATGAGTACACAGAGGCGCAGATGGAGGGTGAAGAAGAAGAAGAATCTCATGAACAAACACCAAATCTCACTCACCCATTTCAACCGGTAGTCTGTTTCTTTTAGATAAGGGAATAAAGTTTTGATTGTTGAGAGTTGGTTTCTTCATCCGCAGGTTACGTCCAGGGAACACAAAAGCAAGATGCGTTCTCTTCAGAAAGCAATAGACACGCTAAACAAGGTTACGGTTCTCTTACAATTTCAAAAGCTAAATATTTTTGTTCATTGGGAGACAAAAGCTTTTTAAAATCTTAGTATCTTCATCATCCCAGGCGGTTCACGTCAATTCAGAGTCTGAGAAATATTTCCTGGACATGGCTGCTTCATTCGGTGACAGGGCAAGCAAACTTTAGTCTGAATCAGGTGTGTAACTGATAACGAGTAACTTGTTTATGACCATGTGTGTTTGTGTTTGTTTGATTTTTACTCTTTACAAAGCTTACTTCCATGTAGATGTTTCTTGGTATTTGGAAAATAAGGAGCGGTGCGAAGAAGCTGCTAAAACGTTTACAGATGAGCTTAATGTTGCTCTTCAACAGGTGTGTGGTTTTTTTCCTTTTCACTTCTTTTTAGTTTTTTTTTTTTTGCTGTACACTGAAAAGTCTATTTCTGAACTTTTGATTTTCATTTATTGGAACAGTTGGATGTGTTTCATATTCTCAAAACGAGGGAGATTGAAACATTTCAGCAGCAAAAAGCAGCTCTGCAAAAGACAAGAAGACCTTTTGGTTTTTTCTGTTAGGATTAACTATCTAATCTTTTGCCAAAACAGTGATAAACTAAGACGTCTTCGAGAATATATATATATATATATATGCCCTAGTTATTAACTCGTTTACTTATATCTATAATACAGTAAAGATCCTTCGTCTATTCCTCTCTCTCTCTTTGTTACATTTCTTAATTAAGTTCAATATGTCATAATTAACAAAAAAAAATGTTGTTTTACTTTCCTCTTTATCAGACAACGAAGGCAGAAGATACATTTATTGACACACAAAGACAGAAGAAAGAAACTCAAAACCAGAACAAAAACCTCCCTGGTAAACGCATGACGTGTTAGAATTTTTACA